GTCATTCTTAACAACATGACTTGAGCAACTTCTGTATAGATACAGATGCCTCCCATGGTTCAAACTCGTTGTTGACTCACCGCTCCACAGTACTTGACCTTTACAGCCGAATATTTCACCGGCAATCAAATGCCCATCGAGTAGCATCCTAACAATTAATGTCTCCGTTATTATTTTTGCATGTTCCCCGTTGCCCAGCAGCCTCGGCTAGGGACGAATGGGATCGGAGAGTGACCGCTCTCTCGCTCTGGATGGATATACATCTTACCTCCCCCGCCATCAAACATGCGATACTCCTTCTACTTCAGGGTGTTCGCGATTCCTCACGTCCCTCTCATTTGATCTCTCGGACCATTCGCCCGGCCTTTCTGGCACAGGAAGCTATTGGGTGTCAGGGACTTTTGGAAGGCAGACTAGCCTCCTTGTGGCTGTCTCTGCAACAAAATATTTTGACGAGATTCACAGTCGTCGGTCGGTTTCTCTGTGGGCCTCCCGTCTCTCCCAGCAACTCATCTCCATTGGGTTCTATATGTGGGAACAACGGAACGCCGTTCAACATTCGGATGACAATGTTCAGCTCCGTGAACGTCACTGTGTTGTCAACGAGGGGATTCACTCTTAGTTTGATATGGGTTCAGCTGATATTAGACGCATGCTGAAATGCCGTCACAGCGTCCTCCGTAAGTCACTGGTGGACAAGGAAGAATGGCTGAAGCTACTTGGACAGGAGCGCAAGGACTATCGTCGCTCTCTGCGGGCTCAACGCCGTAGCCTCCGGACTATCTTCTCTGGTCCCCCCTCCTGAAAGCTTCCCAATGTTCATGGGACAATAAGCGCCCCGAATTCACCCCGCCTCGCCGCGGGAGAAGTCATTCTTAACGACATGACTTGAGCAACTTCTGTTTAGGTACAGATGCCTCCCATGGTTCAAACTTGTTGTTGACTCACCGCTCCACAGTACTTGACCTTTACAGCCGAATATTTCACCGGCAATCGAATGCCCATAGAGTAGCATCCTAACAATTAATGACTCAGTTATTATTATTAATTCGCTTTGATACTTCGTGGTTCCATCGAATTTTTGGAATCCGTCCCAATGGCATGAACATACTGTCCAAGCTCAGCAACCATGTCACTCTTGTAGTTGATATTGACATTATCAATGAGTTAATACTGTCTTTCTGGGGAAAGACATTCAATAGCTCGGCGGCTTGACGTCCAAGACATTCAGTGATCACCTTTGGGACCACTTTGTAGGGTAATCGTACAAGAGCTACTCTAACTCTTTCTTTCAGGGTTCAATTGTATCGCTCAGCTGTAGGCTCGTGGTCTCCAGCTGCAGTTGGGTCAAGAGTAACACCCATATCATCTAGCATATCATCCGTCAGAGGGATGAAAGCTTGATCACACTTGATTGTCTTGACATGAAAGCCTGCCTTATTGCAGCGGCGGAATATCTTATCCAATGCTGCAAATACAGTGTCAGTCTTGAGGTTCTGCATGGGAATACATGAGCAATAACGCACAGTGGTATCAATGCAGGTGAGAAACTTCGCATCTCCGATCTCCATGTGATCAATACAGACTGAAGAAGTCATCGTGTGTCTTCTTCGGAGTTGGTCTTGTTGACTTGCCTTTCAATGTAGATGCGTCAGGTCCAAAGATTGCTTTGGCATGGTTGATCGCTTCTTCAGTGATAGGACAGTTCTTGATGAGACCAGATCGGATCGCATACTTCAGACTTTTGGTGCTTGGAGCATTGAGTATGTGCATCGCACTTCTCGCTTCCATTGCAGCCTTGACTTGTCTTGGAGTGAATCCTTCCTTGTTCTTTCGAACCGTTGCCATCTTTGCAGTCATCCCGAGTCCAGCATATCCATTCTGTTTTGAAGAAAGTTCGAAATGGGGTTGTTTATTTACGCTGCTTAACTGGCGACAATACATTGCACTTATCTCTTTGGCACCTGGTTTGACATCCGCTCCAAGTTGCTCCAACACATATACACCCTTACAATTCACAAGTCGGATCTGTCTGTCTCCATCGCAATGCACAACGAAGGCATTGTCAAAATCAGTATCCATGGTAATGCGGTATCCTGCAGCAATCATCTCGCGCATAGCAAGTACATTGGCAATTCCGTCTTCATCATAATAGACTGGATGGGGAAATCTTCCTAGAAACCCTTCTTCATCGAGAACTCTGCTGCCCACGTTAGTGTGCATATTGAGCTTTTTCTCAGCCTGACGTAGTCCATGTTGGACGTATTGAGATATTAAGCAATCATATTGGTCGATTATTGATCAATGGTCTATGTGACGTGACGCGGCAGTGACGTGAGTGTCAAACGTGCGTAATATGAAACGCAGTATGTCAGAACGCGTCATCACGTAGAAAGGTGATCAAGAATGAGAATCGTGAGAATTTATAAGATGATTTTGAACTGCAATCGAGAGTCTCACTATCGATTGAG